TGGCAGAGCGCCCCGTTCTTGCAGGGGTTGGAGAGGCACTCGTTCACGTCCCTTTCGCAGGCCATCCCGGTGAACCCCTCCGGACAGGTGCAGGAAAACCCCCCAACCAGGTTGTGGCAGGTGCCTCCATTGTGGCAGGGCGTGGGCTGGCACTCGTCGATGTCGGTTTCGCACAGGGCGCCCGCATATCCGGGCCTGCAGCTACAGGCGTAAGGCTGCAAGGGTCTGTTGGAAACCAGGATCACAGGGACGCTTTCCTCCGTTTTCACATCCGTCCCGACACTGAGACGCCGCTTGCAGCTGCCTCCGTTTTGGCACGGATTTCGCGCGCAGGGATCGTGGTCGACCGCGTCTATTTGCACCCCGCTCTGCCTGTGCAGAATGTCTTTGATGCTCTGGAAGAATGTGGCCACTCCGCTGGGGTTCACGTATTGGCCGTGGCCCCTTTTCACAGCCGCCGTCAGGAAGGTCTGATTGTTGAGCTCAAAGGCTCCGTAAAGCAGAACCCCCGTGCCCAATCCCGCGAGCTGAGAGTTGGCAATGCGTAAGAAGCTGAGGTAGTGGTTGGTGAGAAAGCTTTTGACTCCCTCCGAGTGGAGACGGATCAGTATGCTGTTGTCCACCGTGGCGTTGGTGAATCCAATGAAGACGACCCTGGCCGTATTGCTAACTGAACCGTGGACTCCATCGCTGCTGCGGATGGTTAGCTCAAATGTTCCGTCTGTCGAACGGGATTTGGAGTTGAGGCTGCAGGTTCCTGTCGGGATACTAAACAGACCCGAGGAGGGAGGGGTGAGGGAGCAGTGAAATCTGTCATGGATGTCAGGGTCTTGAGGTTTGACGTCTCCCAAAGAGCCGCCGGGAAACATGTTTCCGAAGTAGTGGACAAAGATTTCCACGGACCGCGGCTCTGAGGGGTTGTCATTCTGATCGTTTATTTTCACACGAACTGTTCCCGTGGAGGACATTTGAGGCACACCAGAGTCCTTGATCACGACATAGAGGTAGAAGTCACTAATCTGCTCCCTGTCGATCTCCCGACTTGTGGTTAACGCCCCGGCGGAGCTGAGGCTGAAGTAGCTGTTGGCAGATCCAGAACTCAGGAGGCTGAAGAAATAAGGGCCCTGGTTGGGCGGTAGATCTGGGTCAGAGGCAGTCAGAGTTGTTACAGCCGTGCCAGATTTCTGGTTCTCCATTACCTCAGCATAAGTGGTTGTCAAAGTCGGACCGTTATCGTTGATATCCTCTAGATTTACAATGACGGTGGCACTTCCTGTCGCTGGAGGGCTGCCAGTATCCACAGCCAGAACGGTCAGATTATACACCGGGGTGTTTTCTCTGTCCAGCTCTGCCGCTACTGACACTTGGCCAGTTTTGGGGTTGATTGTAAAAACATTTGTGTCAAAACCAGGAGCAATGGAGTAAGAAAATCTGCTCCAGCTGGGGACAGAATCAGAGTCCTCGGCACTCACAAAGGTAACCAACCCACCCGGTGACAGACCCTCGCTAACCTGAACATCGTACAGCTCTTGGGTAAAAACAGGTGGATCGTTGGCATCCAGAATGGTGATGTTCACAAACACCTCATCAATGTCCGCCCCCCGGATCCCTCCCGCGTTCTTTGCCAAAACCTTAAGAGAAATCTTTTCTTCTTTCTCACGGTCTAAAGTACCTGTGACATAAATCTGACCGCTTTTCTTGTCGATGCCAAAGCCCTTCTTTCTGCTCCTTCCAAAAATGAGGTAGTAAACGACTCCGTCCTCTCCCTGGTCTCGATCGCTGGCGAAAACCTCCCCGACCACTGTGCCTTTTGGAGCCGCTTCAGAGATTTCAAAGTAGTACTGTTTGGAGACAAAGCGGGGAACGTATTCGTTGGCTCCCTTCAGCTGGATGTTGACGTTGGCAAAGCTGCAGCGTTCCTCGTCCGGGACGTTGAAGGCCTTCACCGTCAAATGGTAGACCTGCTTGGCCTCGTAGTCCAGGAATCCCTGGGTGGTGACGGTTCCCGTGTTGGGGTCGATGACGAACAGGTCGCTGTCTGATGATTGGATCACATAAGCCATGACCGCGTTGGCTCCAGAATCGCGGTCCGTGGCGTTCATTTTCAGGACGGTGGTTCCGCTGGGAACGTTCTCCTGCACGACGGGGAAGAACTCGTCGGGTTCGAACACCGGAGGGTTGTCGTTCACGTCGGTTACGTGCACCGTGACCGACACGTAGCTGGTTTTCGCGATCCAGCCTCCGTCAGTGGCCGAAACCCGAAGCTCATGCCGTTGCTTTTCCTCAAAATCCAGCGGGTGGGCGAGAGAAAGCACCCCCGTTTTGCTGTTTAGCGCAAACACCCCCTGCTCGTTTCCGGAGGTGATGTTGTACGTAATGAGGCCGTTCATCTCTTTGTCTTTGTCTCTGGCCGAGAGAGTCCTTATCGCCGTTCCCACGGCGAGGCTTTCGGGTACGGTGGCTGATATTTGGCTTTGTGAGAACTCAGGAGTGTGGTGGTTTTCCTCTGTGACTGCGATTTTAACCGCGGCCCGAGCCGAAAGTGGAGGATTTCCTCTGTCTGTTGCAGTAATGTCGACCAGGAAGATTTTATTCATATCAGATATGAGGGAGGAAGCAACGGTAATCCATCCGCTTGTTCTATCGAGCTTGAATTTACTGGAACTGTTTCCTCCGGTTATCGCGTATTCGATCTCAGAATTGAGCCCAAAGTCCTTTTTGTCGTGAGCTACAACTCTTATGAGTCTGGTGCCGACTTTGACGCTTTTAGTGACCGGCGTGAAGTAGCTCGGCGCTTCAAACTCAGGAGGGTTATCGTTGCTGTCCACCACGTTTACTATGACTGTGGTCTCACTCATTAAAGGTTTGACTGCTCGATCTGAGGCCGTGACGATGAAGCTGTGGCGGTTTATATTCAGGCTGCTAGCCCCTGTGGAGTTCTGATACTTCAACTGCTGCTTGACAAACACCTCCCCGGAGCTGGCGTTGATCCTGAAATACTCGGACTGGGATCGGATAAAATAGAAGATCTTGCCGTTGAAACCCTCGTCGGGATCGGTGGCGGATACCCGCGTGACCAGGGACCCGATATCGGTGAGTTCAGGGTAGTCCAGGTAGTAAGAGGGCCGGCTAAATCTGGGCGCGTTGTCGTTCACATCCGTTACGAACACGGTCACATCCGTGCTCACCGTCCAACCGGAGTCGTGCGCAGAAACTTTGACGATGTAGTGATCGGTGTCCTCCCTGTTGAGCGGTCGGCCGATCGTTATGTCCCCTGTGCTCGGATTGATGTTGAACGGGAGGCTGGTGTCTGTGATCGTATATCGGCTAATGGCGTTAGAACCGGCATCCTCATCTGTGGAGGTTACCCTGGTTACGGTGTAGCCCACAGGAGCATTTTCAGCCACCGTGGCGCTGAAAATCTTGGAGAACCTCGGCGCGTTGTCGTTCACATCCAGAACGTTGACGTTCACTTTGACCACGCTGGTCTTTGGAGGCAATCCCCGGTCCGAGGCTCTCACTTTCAGAGTGTAGAGAGATATTTTCTCCCGGTCCAGAGGCCTGGTGGTCCGGATCTCCCCGGTGGCTCGATTCATGCTGAAGCTATTCTCCTTGTTGCCGTCGACGATGGCGTATTCCAGTTGGCCGTTGGGCCCGTTGTCCAGATCCACGGCGGAGACGATGAGCACTCTCTGAGGTGAGAGATTCTCCAGAATCTCAGCCTGGAAGGGATCCTTATCAAAGACCGGGTGGTTATCGTTTACGTCTAACACAGTTATTTCCACTTTTTCGTAGGATGAATAAGGCGGAAAGCCCTGATCTCTGGCCTCGATCCACAGAACGTACTTCTGAATGTGTTCATAATCCAGAGGATGCCTGATTGACAGCTCACCGGAGAGCTGGTCGATATGAAAAGCGTTATCCAGATTACCACTAGCGATGTAGTAGGAAAGGGCCCCCCCCCTCATGGAGGAACCTGTCACCGTGGTAACGATGTGGTTGCTTGGTTGGCTCTCTGGGAACGTAAAAGTTCGCTCCTTTATCCTGATGACGGGGAAGTTTCCTCCCGTAACGAAGCGCACCGTCACGGTGGTGGTGTCCGTTTTCGGATTGGCGCCGCCATCTTTGACCCGGACGGTGAGCGTGACCTCCGAATTTCCGGTGAGCCTCTCGTTGGCGGTGATGGCGCCCCTTACTGGATCTATCTTGAACTTCTCGTAGTTGCGCCCCAGTAGGGAGTAGTGCAGCTGGGCGTTGGATCCAGAGTCCTCGTCAGTGACAGTCACGGCAAAAACCAGAGAACCTGAAGCAAAGACAGGAAGACAAGGGCTGTAACACACTGCACTGTAAGGCAGAGACACATATTTGGGGAAAAACCCTTAAATTCCGTATGACTAACATGATGCATCTTCATGAAATAGATGAATTCAGTAAAACTAAGGTGCAAAGAAAGCATCTCATACTGTTCAATAAAGCTAAAAAATCTAAAAAATCTGAGCATTACAGAATGTTTAGCTAATGTAATATCCCCTCTGGGATTATAAAAGTATTTCTGATTCTGATTCTGACTCTAAAAGCTCAGTTCAGTGAGACAACAGTGGCACTTTAACCCTGTAATGCCAAATGTGTCATATTTGATACGGTTTCTGAAATGTTTTGCGTCTGACACCGGCTTCTGTCTATTTTATTCATCTTTAAAGGGTTAATTTAATGGTAAAAACTTTGCTCAAAATCCTATTGTTCACAATCAGATACACCTGATAACAGGGGGCAGAACTACAAATGATTAATATTAAAAAAGTATTTAAAAAGGCCAAATAAGGAATTCAAACAAAAAAAAGTAATTTTCTGTTTATTTTTCTAAGCCAAGATACAATAATCGTGACTTATCGCATAGTAATAAATTATTAATATTAAAAATGTATTTCTGTACATCTTTTGTTAAAAGGCCAAATAAAGACTTCAAACAAAAAAAAAGTAATTTTCATTTTTGTTTTATTCTTGGATCAGGCTTTAAAGGGTTAAGATATTTTTTCATCTGATATCTCCATAGCTTATTTTATTCAATTTTTATTTTATTATAAATTTTTAAAGGGTTAAGATCTTTTTTCCTTTTTACCCACTGACCTGCGGCGGTGGAGGCGGGGATGTGGGTCACGTAGGGGTGGTGGTGGAAGCGTGGAGGGTTGTCGTTGATGTCGGCCACCGTGACGGAGACCGTGGCGGAGCTGGACAGGCCCTCGGGCTGCCCTCCGTCTGTCGCCACCACCAGGAGCTGGTAACTGGCCCGGTCCTCTCGGTCCAGCAGGGAGCTGGTGATAATCTGCCCGGTGGCCGGGTTTATGGAGAACTGACCGTGGCCTCCACTCAGGCTGTAGCTGCAGGAGAGAGGGGGGACGAGTTTTTAGGAAAATAAACGATTAAGAGAAAAAACACCAACTAATCACACTGGTTTTTAACTCATTGGCTGCCAAAGACGTCTATAGAGGTCTTTTATGTTTTTCAACGAGAGTGTCTGGGGGACGATCTGCTAAAGCTCGTCCGTAAATATGGGCTTCTAGACAGAGTATGTAGTAGCAAATTGAGCCTCTAGGGGGCAGTGCCACTTTTGATGGGAGATGAGCATAGACTGTAGGCAAATAAGAAAAAGGGAACGGTTCTATGAGAGAACATGTCGCCGGTGAGACGCAAGTCCAGGAAGAACGGAATAAGGTAGAAACACATTTTTTTCCTGATGAAAGAAGAGAGTCTACTCTTTCTTTTGGTGTGTTCGGTGTTTACATAGTCATAGCACAAACTATTCTGTGGCTCTAGAAAAATCAACCCAACTGCTATTGGGCTTCATCCTTATGGGATTCTGACCAAAGCTTGTCACAGACATTACATTAGGACACCAGGGAGCTAGCTTAACTTGTTGAAACACGGTATAATATGTCTCCTTTAAGAGAATAAACACCAACTAATCACACTGGTTTTCAATGATCCCAACTCCAGCCAAAAGTGATCCTGTTTAACAGTTTTATATTTTGAAATGGTCGATTAACTTACAGAGTGTGTAT